CAGAGGAGGCGCGGAAAGGGGGAAACGAGGGAGGGGCAGCGGTCCCAGACATGCGACGTCCTGATTTTCTCAGGACGGGGTCCCTGGTGGAAGCCCCGACCCGTTCCCCGGGACCGGCTTCTCATCCGGAGTCGTTCTTTGACGGCCCCGAGGCCCGGCGAGGGCCCCCGGAGGCCGCAAATGGCAAAAAACCTGCCGCCCTGACTTCTGTTACGCCGCGAACGTGCCTGGGGCCTTGTCCTCCTCTGTGGCTCGGGCCGCCGCGGCGTCTGGCCGCGAGGGGGGAGGTCGCCCGCAGCGCGGCCCTGCGCTGGCCTGCCTGCTCCCCCGCCCGCCCGGCGCCGGCTCGCCGTGCGCGTCCGCGCCTCTGGCCCCAAGCCTCCGCTGCCTCGCCCCTCGCCGAGCGAGGAGCTCGAAGCGCAGGATGACCAGCGCTCGCCACGGACGAGAGGAGCTCGGCCCTCCCCCTCCTGCTTTTCCTCCTGCTTTCTTCCTCCTCCTCCTCCTCCTCCTCCTCCTCCTCCTCCTCCTCAGCACGCCAGCACGGATCAGGGATCCCTAAACCTTCGCTGCCTCGCCCCTCGCCCCTAAGCCTTCGCTTCCTCGCCCCCGCCTCCCTTCGGCGGCAACTCACGGGAGCCTCCCATTGCATCTCGTCGGCTCCTGCGGAGCGGCGCTGAATCGACGCCGATCGATGTCGAATCGACGCCAACCGACGCCGCATCGGCGCCATCTCTCTCGTCCACTCCCAGACGCTGCTCGGCGCGAAAGACGGCATTCAGATGGCAAAACGAAGGTTTTTCTTGCAATCCTTCGTTTTTTTACAATCCTTCTTGCAATCCTTGGTTTTTTGCAATCCTTCGCTCCCGTGATGTGCTACCGAACCTCCCCGCGGTGCTCCCCCGGCAGCGGGGGGGCCCGCGCGCCTTCCAGCAGGAGAGGGCGGGGATCACCCGCCCGCGGAAGGTCTTCTGCGGGGTGGCCTCGGGGCGCGCTCCAGGCTGGCAGACGTGTGCGGACACTGCTTGCTCGCCTCCCTTGTCGTACTGGCGATTGCAACCAGATCCAGCCCGTGTGGCAGGGTGCCTTCCCAGGCAGGCGGCAGCGATGATAGATGCTGTGCACATGGACTGTCACCCTGAGCAAGGGCATCTGCAAGAGTGCGACCTCTAAGGGGTATGGTATGGCTGAGAACGCAGGCAACCTGTCTCGATGCTGCAGAGGGCCTCGGACGTGCAAGTGAACGACACGAGACCGCCTCTGAGGCCTCGGACAGGCCCCGAGAAACGCCCGAAGCAGACGCGGTTGATGAGGACAAATTAGCAACTTCTACGCGGAGGAGCACGACAGGAAACGGCAACACACATGTACGAAGTCGGACGCAACACAAGCACCTCTCAAATGGTGGGCTTGTTTTCCACCACCACCACCATTGAGTAGGCGGGGGGGTGTCTTCCTGCTCCTCCTCTTTTTCCTCCTCCTCATCCTCCACCTCCTTCCCCCCTCCAACTTATTGTGGTGGTGGTAGTGGAAAACAAGCCCATCATGTAATGTTCGTCGTCGAAACGGCGTAAAAGCCGCGCCAACCTCTTGAATATATAGATGTGGTTCGGGGGTGCAAGTGCAGGGCAGAAAAGACACGCGGGGCTGGCTGGAAAGGTGCACCCACCGAGCGCTGTTGCGCAAAGGATCATATGGGACAAACTACACCTCCTCCTCCTCCTCCTTCTCCTCCTGCTCCTCCTGCTGCTCCTCCTCCTCCTCTTTCTGCCACTCCTGCTTCTACTCCTCCTCCTGCTCCTGCTCCTCCTCCTCCTGCCACTCCTGCTTCTTCCTCCTCCTCCTCCTCCTCCTTCTCCTCCATCTCCTCCCCTCCTCCGCCAAGCGACAGACTGTTGTCACAGACCCACCCTTCGGGGGCGTGGCCTGTGCCGCCTCGCTCGGCGGCGGAAATCCGCGATTTTCCACGGGAAACGGGACCCGTCGCTAATCCACGCCCCCTCGATCCATGTTTGCGATCGCCTGAGCATGGGACAAACTACATCTTCCCTCCTCCGCCGATCGACAGGCTGCCGTCCCAGACCCACCCAGCACACCCTGTGGGCAACACCCTGCTCGGAGTCTTGAGCGCTCCTTCTGGGACAGGCTTTGTCGCTGCTCACCAGGCGGCGTGCGCAAAAAGTTTGCCTGTGGGCAGGTGCGACACAGCAAGCTTTCTCGATTATGCTTCGGGGTGGCAAGAAGAGAGTAGCATCGATTCTGCCCAACACTCAAGTTGCGCGTCGAAGCGTTACTAGATCCCCCACCAACGGCATGCAACCTACTACCCCAAATTAGAAGCAATCGTACCCCCAAACCACACATGACCGCACGGCCCGCTGAGGCGTGTCAGAATGCAAAGGCTGCCTGGCAGGGCTTCTATACATCTTCTTGAGGCCGCCCCCTCCTCCCTCATGGTTGCAGACAGGCGCAGGCATCTCCCTCCCGCCCTCCTGAGGCTCTTTGGGCGGCACGACGCAACCTGGGGCTCTCTACCAATACCTGAGGCTTCCGAGAAGGCTCAGATGGCCACCACGGCAGCCAAGATGGACCAACATTGCCGCAAGAGGTGCTCAATCTTCCAAGACACCGCATAGAAGGCCGAGAGGTTCTGCAGACAGGCCAACACCACTGAAAAACCTCAGGGAGGATTCCTTAGCTGTTTGATACGTTGAGCTTCCATTACCTCTCGGTTCCATATGAATGTGATAGGGCCCAGGACGAGCCAAACATGGGCCAACCAAACCCAGCTAGGGCCCCCCAAAGCCCAGCTGTCGGCCAAGAACAGCCACAAGAGGACCTCATGTCGGATCAAAAGGGACCCAAGACAGCCCAAGAGGCCCCCCCAGATGGCCGAATAAGGTCCCAAGAAATCCTCCAGGCTGGCCAAGATGTCCCAAAACGGCACCAGAAGGCCACAAGAAGACTGCAATACCGCCGAGAGTCGCAAAAGGGCCACAAGATGGCCCCAGAGCAGCCCATTACATCACTGCACCGACCTTGCAGACGTGCTGCAACGGATTTTTGCGTGGATCTCCGGGCCTATCCTGATGTTTTCCGAACGAAATCCGCTCTGCGATGTTAGCGCCATGAAATACAACCCCGAGGCGGACCGGACAGGCCCCACGAGCCCCCCCAACAAAAAATACGGCGACCCCGTGGGATTGTGCCAAGAGGCCTGCAGAGCGAGGCATGTGCAGAGTCGAGCATGTCGGGGCGTTTCGGGCGAAGCTCAAGCAAAATCTATACGCTTAGTTAGGTCGGGCATGTCCTCCAAAAGGCGGACACAACAAAAAACGTCCCCAGAGTATTTGGTTCAGGCTATGTTTCAATGGAAATGCCCGACTTGAACATAACCATCCCTCACCATGTCCAGGCAGCTGCCACACACCACCAGTTCATCCCGCACGATCCCATACACGCAAGTCGAGCCCCTTCAGTGCATCCCTGCACGGGGGAGACCCTTCCCAATCTCTCTTCCCCGTCGGTGGGGAGGTCCTCGGAGGGGGGGCCTCCTGAGAAACACAGGGGCCCTCCCTCTTCCGCTTCGTTGTCATTCCTCCTCCTCCTCCTCCTTCTCCTCCTCCTCGTCCTCCCCCTCCTCCTCCCTAGTCGCCGCCCCCCGCAGACGACCCAAGAGGCTCCCAAGACGGCCCACGACCCCCACGAAGGCCCCTAACAGGCAAACACCACTGCGTGTCCAGAAGTTGTTCCCCGCATCTTGCTATTACTGCTTCGCCTCCTCAATCACTCTCTCGCGCCTCCTCCCCCGCTCATCACACTCGGATCACTCATAACCAAACTCGCTCACTCTGAGACTCACTCACACACATATTCTTTCACAGAAGAAAACTAAGATCACTCACGCTCAGACTCACTCACACTCAGATCACCTACTACTCAGATTTGCTCATACTCAGACTCACTCATACACAGACCACTCCCACTCAGACGCACTCAGACCCAACCAAGTCATACCCAGACTCATACGTAATGATCATTCACACTCACAGTATGACCATCGAAATATGGCAGGGGTGGCACTTGGGCACCCCAAGGGGGGGCCGCCAGGGGTAGTGACACTCGCCCGTTCTCGCCCAAATTGTAGGGATGTCTCAGGCGGTTTGCTCGTGTTTCCCCCGGGCTCCTCTCTTGCTTTTGACCACCCCATGAGCGCCGCTACACACCAGGCGTAGCCCTTCGGCCCTCCCAGGGGGGGGGGGCACCAGGGGCATGCACGTACGGTAGAGGGAAACAATTACTGAACACCCCCCCTCCCCCCCAACCTCAATGCTGGCACGCGCGGGGGAGTCTGCGGTCGAAGTGCATCGCATCAGACCCACCGCCAACTTTGAACATGGGGGGGGGGAGCCGTTGACAGATGAGTATGGCATCATGAGTGTTCGCTAATTTGTTCCGAGGCCTGTGTGACACTCGCCCGTTCGCGCCCAAATGGTGGGGATGTCTCAGGCGGCTTGCTCGTGTTGCCCCCCGACCCCTCCCATCCTTCGGGGATCTTCCGACCCGGGTCAATCAAGACCCGGGTCAGCAGGAAACCAAAAACTGCAATGCAGGAAAAAAACTGCCACGCAGGTCTTCGCAAGCCCGGGCCAGCCAAGATGTGCGGCCGCCTCGCGGCCACGAGCGGCTCGCTAGCCCGGGTCAGCCAGAGGGGGTCTTCGCAGGATCCTGCAGGATCTGGCGCTCTGGCTGACCCCCGTTTGCGTTGACCCCCGTCTCAAGGCTCCCGAAATCATGAGAGCTCCCCGATCACCGCAGACACTGCAGGTGCGGCACGTGGTCGCCCCGAGGCGGGAGCAGGCCCGGGGAGGGGGGGCGATCGCCCGGCCGCGCCCAGGACCGCGGGGACTCCCCCGGCCTCCTGCCTCTTGCCGTCGCTCGGACGTCCGATCCCCGTGTTTTTCTTCGGTGTCGTGCGTATGTTTTTTTTGCTCGATGGTCCAGGAGGGTCCTCGAGGGTTCTGGCCGAGAACAAACATGCACACGCCCGAGCGATGCCAAGGCCCGGTGCTGGCCCCCGAAACTCCTCTCTTCGGCGAGCCCCGCGACCACCTCGCCGCGGCAGGCGGGGCACCTTGGCACCCTGGGTGGGGGGGGGCGCCTCGACAGACAGGCGCGCTCCACTGCTCGCAAAGTCAATACTCGCAGGTCGGGCACGTCCCCCTTACAGGCGGATCTGGGACGAAGAATAGACAAATAGTCCACAAATGCTCGAAACGCTCCAAACATGGTTCAAAACAATCGTCCCCAGAACACTTTTGGACCGTGATCGGTATTCCTCCTGTCGAGGGCCAGGCCTCACACAACACGACTCGCAAGTGGTCTGGATCGGCCGCGGAGGGCTCACGACCCGTCGCACCGAGGCACACGTGTGTGCTTTTTCGGTCGCCTGCGAGCAGGCGCCCTGCCTGGCAGTGGAGCGCGCTCGGCGACTCCGAGGAGGGGGGCGCTCGCCCGACTCGCGCCCGGACGGTGCAGGCTGCAGGAAGAGGGGGAGAGGAGCGAGGGGCGGCGAGGAGCGGCGAGGAGCGGCGAGGAGGAGGAGGAGGAGGAGGAGGAGGAGGAGGAGGAGGAGGAGGAGGAGGAGGAGGAGGAGGAGGAGGGGGTTTGCCCCCCAGGCTTCTTGCCCCGAGCGCCCCCTCGCCACCGCTCGGGCGCCCGCTCCCAGTGCCTCTTCTCGGCGCCGCTTTCGCAGGGACGGCCCAGGGTGCACCCGTCCGAACGCTGCTAGGCCGCAGGATCGCTGCGATGTAGTCAGCATGGTGTGGGAGGTGCCACAAAATTGCCACGTCGCACGCAACTCCGGGCACCTCTCTGTCGAAGCACGGGTCTGGGCTGACGTTGGTCCCATCCGAAGTAAGGACCGCACCCCAGACATGCTCCCGAGCACCCAGAAACAGTATCGAAGCAGTGTCGAACGACTCTCGCCTCCCAGGGCCCGACGCGCGAAAAACCTTCCATTTTCGGTACTTTCTTGGTGCTCGGAATTCTTTCTGGCGAGCAAGGCCAAAGTAGGTTGGAACACCAGAAATCTGGGTAACCCCACCCCCTTATCTCCATTCAGAGTGTTTGCCGTAGAAAAAAAGAGTCCCAAGATCATGCCGATGTAGCGGGCATCGCATTTGGGCACTCCTGGGGCAGCCGCCAGGGAACGCCCAGTTGCCACAGGCTTACATTCTCTTTCACTCAGACACCTACGGGCGGGAATGCCAGGAACTGAGACGCACATGTTGGAATCTCCGCGTCGAAAAGTTGAAGGGTCTAGCGTTCACGCCTTTCGGAGTTCCAAAGCCCAAAGACCGCCCAAGAGGCCCCCAAGGTCGCCCCAAAACGGGCCAAGGGGTCCCTCAGAGAGCCCCACGAGGCCCAAGAGAGAGGCCCTCGAAAGGGCCCAGAGAAGGCCCAAGAGGCCCCCAAGACAGCCCACGAGGGTCCCGCGGGGGCCGCGAGAGCGGCGGCACGAACTGACATGTCGAGCCCTCCGCCCCAAGAGGACCCCTGGGACTGCTGCCAGATGCCCCAAGCTGCCCCATCGCTCGGACGTCCATTCCCCGTGCATTTTTCGAGGTCGCGCGCGTAGTTTTCGCAAGATGATCCCGGATGTTCCTCGATGGTCCCCGCCCCCCCGAAAATGCACACGTCCGAGAGATGCAGGCAAAAGGCCCTCAGGAGGCCTCCGGGCTCCAAGATGCCTCCGAGAGGCACCTCAAGGTACCTTTAAATCAATTCAAGAGGCCTCCAGTCCACGTCGGCCTGCCTTCGTGCGTTTTCCGGCTCCCTCGCGGCCTGCCTGGAGCCTCCTGTTGCAGGGTCAGCGAAACCAGCCAGAAGGCCTCTCCAATAGAGACTCGGGGGCGTCCAAGAGGGGGGGGCGCAAACCATGGCCAGCGGCACGTGCGCGGCCCAGGATGGGGCCGGGGACGCGTGAACATAAGAAGAGAAGCCATGACATCTGGGGAGGTATCATGGCCCCCGCCATGATATCCATCCCCCCCTAGTCATCCCCCCCCCTTGGCGACCCACGAGAGACGATGGGGCCGCAGTTTGCAGTCTTCTGGGCGGTGCTCGAAGCGTCGCCAGGCAAAGGGCTGCGCTGGCATGGTGACGGAACTCCCTGCGGGCAGCCGGATAACTAATGCAAGATGAATCCAGTCAGTCGTCGCTGGGGCGTCAATTCATGGGGGGGGCGATGAAGGGGGTAGGGTGGGAAGAAAGGTGCACTTCTCGGGCTATAAGGGGCCCCCTTTGCGGCCCGAAAGGGCACCTTTTCGGCAGCCCTCGTTGACCCCCCTCATTTTATCGCCTCCCCATTACCAGCACCAGGAGAACCCAGACTCGAATCGACAAGTCGGATCGGCGATCGAGATGGATCGGATCGGCGGAAATCGGCAGCCGAGTCGGGAAAAGTCGAATCGGCGCAACTCGGGAGGCTAATATGCCTCCAATGAGAAAGCGGAGCCCCAATCGGAATCCCAAATCGAATCGAATCGGAATCAGAAGCCATCGAAGTCGAAACGAATCGAATCGAAGGAATCGAAACGAGCCCTGCCATTACGCGGCGCCCGAGTCACCGTTGGGCGGAAGGCGGGGAGGAGAGGGGGATCTGGCTCCAGACCTATGCTTAGTGCGACTGTTTGCAGCTGTGCGTCCTGTGGGGAGGCTCCACCTGCTCGAAACAGGCGCCAAACACAGCCAAGATCTATTCCATGGGGGCGGAGGGGGGGTGCGGGGACCCGCGCCGATCTGCAAAACAACGAATCACAAAACTATCACCAGGGTGCATTGTCCGATCTGTCTCTCACTATGTCTGCTTGTGACAGCCTCTGAGACACAAACAAACGACAAGTACCCACACGCAGAAATGGAGATTCGAGAGAACCCTTCAGAAGCTTCAGCGACTCTTGGCCAGCTGCGAGGGGTGTACCTAATGTAATTGAACGGGTGCAACAGGAAATCCAATTGTGTATATAATAACTGTGCCGCCCGTACCAGTTGAAATTCAAGGCAACGCAGGAACACAATGAGGCGCGGCGCGGCAGGGGTGGCAAACTGGGGCGGCAAGGCGACATGCACAACTGTAGAAGGAGAAACCCCTGAACAATCATAAACTTTCGGAAGCCAGTGCGGGTTCTTGAGGGGTCCGGCGCCCAACCCGGGAAAGCCACGCGGACATCCGAAGGTGCATGCTTATGCGGCTGTTGTTCCTCAGAGACTCGGGCCGCGGGGAGACGTGCAGAAACAACAATTTGCACCATACCAAGCGCCACCTGGATCCTACAAGCCGACCGTGCCCTGTACATGATGGGCAGGCAAAGCCAGGGAAAAGGAGGGGCCTCGAGCAGCCGCTCCAGCTTCTGCTGCTTCGCCAGCGTGAAGGCACCCAGGACCGTCTGCTGCGGGGGCTCACCCTTCGGGTAGCCCGTTTCGAAGCCCGACCGCTCCGCGCCAACGGGAGCAACGGCTCAGAAACAATCCCACCAGCCCTCTGGGAGAAGGGTTTTTTAGGGGGGGCGCTCTTCCAAACCCCTTATTCCCTTCGGGGATTTTTTCCGGTCGCAGCCACAGGCAAAGGCGCCCGCAGCGGGTCGAGTCGGCTGGGGCTACGAGCGAACCTAATTGCCGGCTCGCACGCAGAGGAAAGCAGGAACCCTTCGGGGATATTTTTTCCGGTCGCGTCCGAAAGCGAAGGCGCAGGCGGAGTCAGAAGCGGTCCGGGGCGCGGAACAGGCCTAATTAGCTACTGGGCGCGCCGCAAGCCGGCCGGGCCAGCTCACAAAGCAGCTGCTGTGCCGCGCGGTGAGGCTGACGGCTGAGGGCACCCAGTCCTTCGGGGATATTTTTTTTCGGTCGCGTCCACCAGCGAAGGAGCTAGCGGAATCAGAAGCGCTAGTCACGGGTCACGACAGCGGCCTAATTAGCAGCTAAACGCGCCGCGAACCGGCCGGCCCACTCATCCAGCAGCGGCTGACTGCGCGGGGGGAGCGGCAAGCTGAGGGCGTCCAGGGTGCTCGGGCACTTGCAACACGGCCAAATGCTGATGAATTCAAGATGTGCCGAGTGGCAACCCTTCGGGGATACGCGAGGCGTCGAGAATCTGAAGAGGTGGCAGAGTCGCTACCACCATGACCGCCCAGTCCCTCCTTCACGCCACTGGGCGATGGAGAGAAGAAGGGATCATGACGAGGGTGGCTGCGGCTGGTGTTTGGGATCATGACGATTCTGGCCGCGGCTGAAATGCGAAATGATTCCGCGAAGCACTGCGTAAATGGTTCCGCGAAGCACTGTGCAAGACTGCACCCAGACAAAACCGTGCCAGGGCTAGAGGAATGACGGTGATGGAGGCGACGTGAGCGATGGCGAAGGCGATGGTGGCTGTGGCAGCTGCGGTGCAGCAACGGCGACTGCAGCGGCTGCAGCGACGGCGGTCGCAGCAGCAGCGACGTGGAGAAGTCGAAGCGTGTGACTTCTCCCCATCGCCGGATGAGTCACAGGGCGAGTCTGCAGCGGAAAAACACCCAAGCGCAGAGCGGACAGGCCGAAGCTGGTGGAGGTCCCCTCCTGCGAATGCAGATCTCTAACGTTGCAGAAACATGCGCCATCGCCCAACAACAACAACACCCGAGCCCTGGACCCGAGCTCTCTGCGTGAGTTCTCGAGCTGGAGCGCTCTGCGAGGCTCCCGGGGCCCGACGCCGGGCGAGGACGCCCGTGGTGAAAACCATGTTCTGATTCGCGGGTCGAGGAGCGCACCTCCTACGGTCGAAGCTAACAGAGTTGTGCAAAACCATGCCACGGCCAGATCTCAGGGCTCGCTCGGAGGGGGGGGACGCCGGCCGAGCGGCGCCAGCCGGCACGATCCACAAAGGGCACGCGGTTGCGCTTGATGATCGGCGAGTAGCAGCCCGCCCAGCGTCGGGCCAGCGCGACCGCGGCTCCGATGCCTCCCCCTCTCGACCCCCCTCCGCTCTCTCTCTCGCACCGCTGCCCTCCTCCGCTGCTCTTGGGCCGAAGCTCTCCTCCTCCTCCCCCAACTCTCGGGGGACGTCCAGGAGGGGGGCGTCCAAGGGCGGGGGGCGCAAATCCTGTCCGGCGGCATGTGCGCGGCCCAGGGGTGGGCCGGGGACGTATTGAAATGAGAAGGGACGCCCTGAAATCTGGTATCATGGCCCCCGCCATGATATCCCCCCCACAATCATCCCCCCCCTCTTGGCCGCCCCCGAGAGACGATTCGGGCCGCATGTTACAGCCTTCTGGGCGGTGCTCGAAGCGTCGCCAGGCAGAGGGCTGCGCTGGCATGGTGACAGACCTTCCTGCAGGCAGCCAGATCACTAATGAAAGATAACTCCAATCAATCGTCACGTGGGCGTGAATCACTGGGAGGCGATAAAAGGGGAGAAAAAACGGTGCACTTCTCGGGTCCTAAAGCCCCCGTTGGGAATTAAGGCCCCTTCGGGGCCCTGAAGGGCCCCCTCTGGGGCCCTAGTAATCCCTAAAGGAACCATCGGCCTCAGCCAACCCACCCTGAGCTTAGGTCGGGCATGTTCTGCTACAGGCGGATTACAACAATCAAACATAGTATAGAAATAGTCGAAACACCGTCCCCAGATTACTGTGTATTATTCTTGCACATTCCTCCTGTAGATGGGCATGCTCGACTTAAGCCTAAGCCAACCCGCCACGAGGGGTGGAGAGGCAACACGCCGTCGGCGGATGGTCCCACAGGGGGCGGGTGCGCCCGCCCACACCCACCGCGCCTGGCCCCGCAAGCAGGGGCGAGGGCTCGGGCCCGCAAGGGCCTGGCGCGCGTCCTGGACACCGCGACGCAGCGCTGCGGCTCGTCGCGCCCACAGCCCACAGCTGATTACCTACCAGACCACCCCAACCCAACCCGCAGACCCGAATTTAGGGGAACAAAAAGTGGCATAAACATAAAAACTCGGAGGTCCGCGCGGATTTCTCGGATCGGCGCTGGACCCTCCTCCCTGGCGCGCGGAGCGCGCCAGGGGCGGCGCCGGAGGCGCCGCCGGGGGGCCCCAGCGCCGATCCGCGAAATCCGCGCGGACCTCCGAGTTCTTCTGTTTATGTCACTTTTGGTTCCCCTGGAATTTCGGGCTGGCGGGGGGGGGTAACGGGTTCCAGACGTGGTTGTCGATGCCCTCCGACGCCCCGCCCACTGGGAACGGAGGGCAGATTTGGGCCCTCAGGCTGGCTTGGGGTGGCTTGGTGGGCGGTGCACGGCCCGCCTCGAAATCCGACGCAAGCTTTATCCGACCCCCTCGCCCCCAGAATTCCATGTGGCTGCGCGCGCGCTACGCGGCCCGCGGGGTCCGCGAACAACGTGCAACCGCCACCCGCCGGCGTCAACAGATTGACATTTGGGGGGTCCTGGGGCGTCGCCACGCCGTGGGACAAACTTGCGCTCGATGTCGAGGAAGGATGCAAAAACCCGTCCGTCGCCTCGCGCCCACCTCCACCTCCCAGCTCTCCTCCCGCAGGGCCTGCGCCCGTGGCATGCCGTGGGCCCTGCCTGCGCACCGAAAATGGGGGCTGTCGCATGTGCAAGCAAGTTCCGCTCCCCCTCTTGCCCCGACGGGAAACTGGACGGTCTTCCCAGGGATCGTAGGCGACCCGAGGAGGGGAGGGCGAAAAGGGGGAGGAGGTTCGGCGAGGTTCGGCGATGACGACGACTCACGCAGGCAAGCTGGGTGAAAAGCCAATGCAACAACAATAAAGTTAATAGAGTCTATCCTGCACTCCATGCAGCTCATCATTACTGGTGCCCCTGACGCCAACATGTTCTACTGCGTTAAGAACATGTTGCTGCAATGCATGACATTAGACGCACATTATCACAACATTGCTAAAGGCCGCTATCCCACTTAGTGGGATTGATGACCTTTCAGGGATCTACGATGGCCTCCAGGAGTCAGTCTATGGTGCGAGACGGCGTCGCAGAGAAGTGCTCTAGGCGGCCCACCCTTTCGGCCAGGGCGGCCAAAACAGCAACGCTGCACGCACCGCAGCCACTATAGTAGCTACGGCAGGTGCCCAAAGCATCAGCGGCGTACAGGCGTTGGTCGCTCGCTGTTGGCGAGCCGCTCCCCGTTGGGGCCCTTGCCCTGTAACAGGTAGCGGCGTTTGTAGAATCGGCTAGTGCCAGGTACAGGAAGTCCTATACATGGCTTAGCGATTAGATGCGCGCGCGTCTCGCATCGCGCAGCGCATTGGGCACAGAAAACAAGAGGCCCGTTGCGCCATAGTCTATGAGAGCTATGGGCAGCACGCACTCCCATCGGAAGCCCCTGACACGGTTGTGCCAAGAGGCCTCTGCGCGTGTGTCGATTTCTACCGCAGGTGTCGCAGTAGTATTTCATGCCACGCTTTATTATAGTGTGCCCTCTCGTGTCAATCAGCAGTGGTCTTGCACGAGTGGGCCCTTCATAGGGAACAGGGTCAGCGTCGGCGAAGTCGCAGCTCGCGCAGCGCCTGAGTATCCTCAGGGCCATGCGCAGTGTGAAAACGGCAGAGCACTCTCTTGCGTGGCGAAGCGCTTCGGCATACCCATTTTTGGGATGCATCAAAGCGCCCTGTTTGGCAAACTCGTCAGCTGCTTGATTGCCCAACCACATTGCCAGAGGTATCGCATCACGAATTCTCTGACTATCGCTGCGGTGGCTGGGTATCCAGATCACATCAATGCCTTCACGCCCAACGTCGTGCACCAGGCGCCAGAATTCACGCCAGAGTTCCCCGAGGTGATTTCGAACGTGAGCACCTGAACCATCGCCACGATCCCATGCTTTCTTGAGTTCCAGGTAGTCGGTGACTATGACGATGTTCCTCGGCCCCTTGTGTCGGAGCGCTATGATCGCTGCCCACAGTTCGCCTGCCCCCGAGCACGTCCATGGGAAACGTACTGGGCCATATGCAGCCCCAAGCACCCCGCCCCGATCATCGATCATGACGGCTGCCCAGCCGGCACGCGCCAGAAGAGGATGGTGAGCTTGCTTCCCCGATCCGTCAGTGCACACCAGCCCTTCGAACCCTCCATTGGGCGGTTCGCGGAACCAGACAACACGGTCATACTGATGTGGAGGTGGGAAGCCGTAATTCGGGTCGTAAGCTGGGTCAGGGAAGAGGCCCTTGCACGTAATGTACGTCATGGGGTGATTGTCACCGTGCTCCACACGCCCTTGTGCGAGTAGCCTACGTTCATCACCGCACCAATCTTGCCTTTCTGCTGCATGATAAAGACAACGATATAAGCGATGTGACGGGGTACCTTCTTCATGTTTACATAAGACACACATGGGATTTGGTGCCGCCCCATGTCGGAAGAGGCGATCCTGCGTCCAAAACCCTCCTGCAACCCATGTCCGAATCAAACCCGCACCTTGGTAATCTTCTTTTTCCCTGAGCTCTTTCACCAATTTGGCAGCGGGTTCAAGTAGAGGTACTCCCTCGAAACCTTCTAGTCGGCACTCGCTTAAGATCTTTGCAGTAGTGGCTTGGTCCACCAACTTCCTCAGCGCGTGAACCCCTATCTCATGCAAGTCTATGAGCAGACCTTGGGGTGAGACAGACTGCATCGCAGTCTGCCTCGAACCCTGTGCTGTTATAAGGCTGGCCATATTACTGGGTATGTACCATTTGTCCCAACTGATGGCTTCCCACCCCAGCCGTTTAAGAGTAAGGAGTACGGCTCCAGCTGGTCCAAGTACTGCTCCCCAGTTGGCCGGCCTGCTCACCGCGTAGCTGTGGGCCATCTTCATCTGGTTTGGCGTGGCCCATCCAAGCCATAATGCTTTCAGCCAGGTAACCAGAGGCAGCGCGTTGGCGTCATAAGTCGGGTCGCACTTCGGGTCGTCAGACAACATAAACTCGACTGTCCGAGATCGCCCACGAGGTGGCCCGAAGATAGCAAAGGCAGCGGTGGCTCGAAGACTAGCAAGTTGCGCATCAGGAACGCCATGCACACGCATCCCATAAGTAACAGCTGGTATTCCTCCCGCTCTGTAAAGCCGACACACTGATCGTCCTCCACGCGCGAGCCTGCGAAAGCGTGTAATACGAACTTTCATTTTAAAGGCCCGTTTGCTCTGAACAGGCCTTCCAGCTCTCATCATTCGTCTGTCAACCCCGAGCTGCTTGACGATCCTTTTGGGCTGAAATCGATAATATGAAAGCTGCACCGCAATCTGCCTGGCAATTTTGTCGTGGCTAGCAACTACTTGACCTTTGTCCAGGCTAACTTTCATTCTACGCTGCTTGAATTGTTCGCAAGCGAACTGAGCTGCCTGAGTTACAGTTTTGACTACGTCCTTTGTTTGTCCTCCAGCCTGCACGGTGGAGTCGTCGACTACCACCGAGAGGTCGATACTAGGCCATAGGTAATACATTTTGTCATATATGTCCATGGTAAAACATTTCATGACGCTTACAGCGAAACCACATCCTGCAATCACTCCACGGTTGGTCATGATAACATTTCTCATGTGGGATCCAAATTTGATGGACCTTCTACCCCCATAACAGTGTAACAGCATGGCCATTCTGCGTCGTGGGAATCCGTGACGCACAGCAGAGTCCCAGAGAAGATCATGATCGATGGTCTCGAACGCTTTGGCCAAGTCTATTAGGACCGCTGCTGTGTGTTTACCTATGGACTTTGTGGTCTCCACCATCAGGGCTTGCCTCCAAACTGCTTGTTCCGTGCTGCGGCCAGCCTTGGCATATTCATAATGTCTCTTATGCCCTGCATTCCATCTGTCCTGTTGTGGCTTGCGGGCTTTATTGTATACGCGCAGCGCGTCGGGGGGCAAACCTATCAGGCGATGCCCCCCGTCGGGCTTGGGTAACTGAGGCAACATCCCGCTTGATGCATCACTTCAGCAAATGCCGTGAGGCACTCATCCGAAAGCATCGCCATCGAACGAGGCCG